GGGTAACAGCCCCGGGGCAGGGGAACTGGCGTCAGCGCTGGTGCCTTGCAAGGACCTGGTCCCTTCCGAACCAACCCCGACGGGTCTTTCCCCACTCCTCCCGCTGGTGACGCCGCCCCCGCGCTGACCGGCAGGAGGTATCCCGGGGAAGGCGCATGAGAGGCCACAGTGACCCCGAAACGCGGTGGGCGGCGGCTTGGCTCGGCCCGCCCCGGTCCAGCCGCTTCTGGAGCTCAGGGACTACTTTTTTTCATCGTGCTTATGCACCTCCGCACGGGCGGGGAAAAGGGAGTGGGACCTGCAAGGTATAGGAGCGGCGCCGACTGCCGCCGGGCTAAAAATAACAGCCGGGTGATAGCAACAGCCTCCTGATTGGCTGCCGGGGCGAGGAGGCGCCCCCGGATTGGTCTGTTGCGTCACCCAGTGGGCTGAAGGGGGTGTGTGGGGGAGGAGGAGGAGAGCGGCTGCCCCCTTACCCGCGCTGAGCCTGCTGGGAGTTGTAGTTTCCCCCTTTACAGAGGCTCACAGCAAGGCCTCACAAAGGGGCCTTGTGCCTCCAGCACCTTCCATGAGGGGAAGGAACAGATGCATGTTGTTTAAAGGCTGTATGCGAGTCAAGCCAGTAGGGCTTGCCCTGAGCACAGGCAGGATAGGCTACCATTGAATGGGTGCGCTTCAGCCTCAGCAGCCCGGGGTCCAGGAAACAAGTGCAGGGAGAGATTGGCCAAGCTCCTGGAAAATCAGCTTTCTGATGCACCAGCCACTAGCCCCATTAGCCGGAGCAGGCGTTTATCCCATCCAAAATGGGGGACAGCCTCCTGAGCTTGCACCTCTAGGGGAGAGCATGCATTTCTTGGCCGTGTTAGGGTATGTATTCATAGGGCAGCGCTTACCATGGCATCTGGCCACACTTTGTACATTTTCAGTTGAGAGCTGTTAATAATTCTAAACGAAGGGAACAAATACATGCCAGGCTTCGGCAGCCCACTTGCTTGAAGGTTTGAGAGCAGACACACAAAGTTGGATAGTGAATTGGCTCAGTGCCCAGCATTCCAGATGCTGCTGGCCAGCAAAAACGTGGACAAATATGTATCTTCTAAAAATATTCAAACGTGTGCGTGTTCCGATTCAGCGTTCGGTCCTGAAGGAGTAAATCCCAAATGCAGAGAAATGCCACTGAGAATACCGTCTTCAGCTCCTCAGAGCTTCACCTTCAGGACCGTGAGTTTACAGCTCAGAGCACAAGGCAATGATAGGTCAGAGAGGGAGAAGCTGTCTTGTAGGCAACTAACCACGAGGGCTGCCACTGGCAGGAATTAGACGAGACAGATAGGCCAAGGGGCTGGCTCACAAATCCATTTTCTTTTTAATTTGATCCTATTCTCCCCAAAGGTAGCATAATAGCTTCATGCTTAATCATTTGGTTGGACTGGATGTCAGGGGTAATGTAATCTACCCAATCTCAACATCAGATTCTTTTAATAGATGGCCTTACATTTTTATTATGGAATCATCAGTCTCCAAAAAAGGTAAAGTCTGTAAATCCTTCCCTCTCATTAAATCATTCTCCACAATCACTATTGCAAAAATATTCCTTCCCAAGCCTGCTTCCATGAAGATCCTCTCTGTTCCTCAGTTTCTTTTTTCATCTCATGACAATTTCACACTAGTCAACATTTCTGGAACTGGCTACTGTGTAAGGGCTCCTTTCACAACCTTGTTGACAACATACCTGAGTAGCGCTAGTTAATGCTGAACCTTCCAGAGCTGTGTATGGGGCCACCTACTTCCTTCCCATTGCCTCTCCTGCCACTAAACAGACATTTGGAGACATAATGACCCAAGAAAACAAATTAAAAGGAGTGCATTAAGTATTTGAACTCCTGCTTTGCTCAGGCGTATAGATAGGTGTTAGCAATGAGGAAGCCCCATATAGGATTCTCTGGTGGAGGGGGAGGAGCATTTCATGATCCTCAAGGAAAGAAAGGCCTGGGGAATTTGTCCCTCTTGCTCCACTGCTGCCCCCCCCCCATTCATCTCCTGTTTTGCTATGAACAAAAATTACTCTGCAGCTAAAGATCAAACCAGACTAAAGCCAACCAAACTACCTTTGGCCTCATTAGTAAAAGAAAAAAAGTTAATTGTATTTCTGAGATTCCTGTAGTTTTATAATAAGATGTTGCTAATAGCACACGTATGGACACTTAGAAATATTTGTCTTGACACTGTTCCTTTAATTACCCCGCGATGGAGTCACACATACACACACACACAATGGAATTCTGTCATAGACTGTCAGGGCATTCTTAACCATCTGGCTATGATGTCAAAGGATAACTGCTACATCAGGCGTGCACACACAGAGGAAAGAAGGAATCTCCATGTTGCCTGGACAGAGCTAGTTTTGCTAGTTTGCTTAATGCCAAGGAAGTCAGTTTATAATTAGGCATAATTAGCATTCCTATTTACCGCAACATTCTTTACCTTCAAGTCATGTGACACTTAAGTAGCCCCAAAGGAAATGAGAAACACTTCTGTTCCTGAGATGAAAATAAGCTCCTAGTGGTCACCTAAAAAGACAACCTGGCAGCTTGCATGAAGACAGGCTTTCAGAAGGAAGATTTGATCCAAAAACTTACAGAAAAAGAACAAAGATGGAAACAAGAGTTCCTAACATCCAGTTTTTCAGGAGGGTAACCAGAGGATCTAGTGCATATGGGACTGGACGATTCCTAGGACTGGGAACGGATTATGGAGCCGTTTGCCTATCTCAGCTTCATCGTAACCAAGTTATGACAGTTTTGTGGTAGCTGATGTGAACTGAAAGTGCACGTGCATGTGTGGCACAGTGGAAAACACAGGGGCACAGGACACACATCTGTATCCCAGAACACAGAAACATTTTGTTAGTACTGGCAACAGAAAGGTCAAACACAATAAGGTAGGAGTCCTTAAGGGTTTTTCTTTTTCCAGCATCAATATTTTAAACACAAAGATTTTTTTGCAGGTTTCCTGTGGTAATTACAATGGTACATGTAGAAAAACAGTATCAGGAGTGCACATTTAGCTTCCTTTGATAAAATTAGCAGACAGTACCATAGGTATTCTGCAATTACTGTGACGGAGACCAATATAGAAACCATCCTGCTCCCTGTAAAGACGCTCCAGATTGGGCCCATGGACCCTCCCCTTTCCAGTCCCCTGTGGGAACAAGCTGCAGTGCTGGACCCCTTCCCACTGTGCTGCTAGGGCTCCAGCCCTGTGGCTCTTGCCCAGGCACTTGGCTGCCACCTCAGGAATAAGCCATGGTGCCGAGTTTCTCCCTGCACTGCTGCTGGGGCTCCAGTGCCCAGGTGCTTGGCTACAGCTGTTGGAAGGCTGCAGGTTGGATGAGAGTTTTACAGGCTGGATCTGGCCCACAGGCCATGTTGGATCTATTAAAGCCGAGGTGTCAGAAGTCCAGTTTAATTTCTGTCCCTCCCGTTAACAAAACCAGCTCTCTTTGTAGCTTGGAACAGTTGGAAACCTGTGATGATCCAAGAAAACCCAAGTACAACTTATGGATTCCAGTTCACACAGTGAAACTGTTAGAATGAAAACCTGTATCATGGAATGGTTCCAAGTATGGAATTTAACTTTGCTGACAAAAACGGTGCCATGGCCTTAGTTTGGGAGGGTTAGTTGTCCATCATTATGTTATCATTTGGTATCTATTCAGGTAAGAAAGCACCTTGGGATAACAGACTGACTGAACCAGTTTACTCCAAACATGCCTGTAGAAACCTGGTGTCTAAAGTGGAAAGTTACCAAATGCAGAATAACAAAGAAACTAAGGTGCTGGGAGAGGGAGAAGCAGGCATATAAACAGAGCCACACAGGAAGCTTAGGACAGGGAAGTGGAGAAGAGGAGACAGCCAGGCTTTCATAGCACAGGGCCAGTCCTGTTGCTAAGCTAAGCCAAGATAAGAGAATTGAGATATCTTGAGGCTACAGAAATGTTGGTGGGCCAGCAAGATTCTTGAAGGGAATACAAGATAAGGGGGTCTCTACTCAAGAAGACTGTCTGAGGACCCCAGCTAAGGCAGTTCAGATTCTGCTCAAACTCCAGAGTTTAAAGTACACATAGCCCATTTAGGCGGGACCCTAACTTAACTGCCTAGGCCGTGTCTCACTAGGAGCCAGCTCTGTGATGCTCATGTACGAGACCCCTTCCCAAATCTGTGCTGAGCAGCTGGGGTGCCTGCAGTCTCTGCTAGTTTTCAGCAAACAACCTCTGGTTTTAAGCCTGTGTATAGCTATTAGTCTGGAACAGAATGGCTGGTTTCCAGTTACAGCATGAAAAGCATTTAACTTATTCATGAGAATAGGAGTCAAATAGCTTAGGAGGTTATAGAAAGGGATTAAATGTTTGTATGGTGAAACAATGTCCATAGTCGCATTATCTAGGATAAGGGTCACCAGGGCAGTGATCACTGTTTCAGGACATAACACAATCAATGGTTGGAATTAGAGAGAAAGCAGCAGCTATTCCCCAAAGCTTTTGACAGTGAGGACAGCATAGTCATAGCTGGCTACTGTCAGAGACTAGAAGACCCTCTGCCTTAGGGTCTCCCATCACCTTATTAAAGGAAGTGCAAAGGGAACCAGGGTGGGTTGAAGCACAGAGAGAGAGAAATCTTTTTATGACAAAACAGCTCTTTATTGATGCACACTCTGCAGAACCAGTTACAGAAAGGGCCTTGGATTAATCTGCCTGAGAAAACACAACCTGTATCCACTGTGCTCTTACTAGCAGGCTAGCAGCCAGGAAGGCTGGTTTCCTACAAAGCAGTGCATCGTGGAGTCAGGGCGGAGGTTACTCACATAAAACTTGTTCCTCAGCATACTGGAGTGATGGGGGCAGAAGAAGAACAATGCTACCAACTGAGGGGGGTGGGAGGCACAGAAAGGAGAAAGGCTGGTGACTCTTCAATGCCAGAAAGGGAGCGAGGTGTACAAGAGTGATGCCCTCTCAATATGTAGCTGACGCTCATGGCATAAGCGTTCTCCACCAGCCTTTCTGCAGACAGGTGTAGTAGATATTGTCCATGCTCAAAATAAGGCAAGAGACAGTCACCAGACCGTTGCTGCCAGCAGCTACGATAAGGTTCCAGCCCCCACTCAGTTTGATCCTTCTCCTCTCACCCCTCACACAATTTAATCCACAAGGCCTTAGCATAAGAATTAACTGGTTCTCAGTAACAGTGAAGTCAACAGATGCTTTTAAGACTCCCTCCCCAACCCTACAGTAGACACAGTAGGATGCTGGTAGGGTCACCTCTTCTTGAAGCCATATTTCTTGCGTTCATAAAAGAGATCTGTCTTGGAACTACCCAGATTGACGATCTTAGGGCAGCCATCCCGCTACAAGGAAGCAAAGAGAAGAGGATATATGGTCAACGTCAGGGCAAGCCAATCATGTACGTGGCAGCTTAAACACAGCGAGAAAGTCCCCACTCATTTCCACCCCATAATGCACTCCCTCAAAACACCATGCTAACAAACTTCCCATCAACTTCATTGGCACTAGCCTGCAGCATGGAGAAAGAGGCAAGGACGGAAGCCCTATTAACATTAACTAGGACATTCTCTTCCTCAGGGACAGCATGTAGAACAGTTCATGTAGCATCATCAGTTTAATGAGAGGGATGTTTAGTGCCCTGAGACTTGATTCCTTCTAAATTAGGATACATGGGATTTATGGGGACCACAGTAACAGCTTTCTCTACACAGAGTCCAGAGGAACTTTTAGCCATTAACAATCTGTCCCTGCACCTGCAGGCTCCTCTCAGCTGTGCTTGTAGAAGCAGATCTCAGTCCTTCTTCCTCCCTCCCCGACTTTCTACACTGACCACTGTAAAGGTCGCACAGTCATTTTGGAAAAGCAAAGGTACCCATGGCAAGTATATTTAGGGTAAGCCTCTGTACCCCAGTCCTACCAACAGGAAGTAAAGCCAGCTATGAGAAGAACTGTAAATGAAGAATAAATCAAGGGTGAGGCTGTGAGCTACAGAAGATCAGGAAACAATAAAACTGGATGGGTGAACATGCGTGCCAGAGAACATTTGCCAGTGGGTTACTCAGTCTGGCATCTGCATACCTCTTGAGGCTAAAAGGCTATTGCTGGAGATGGCAGCTGCATTATGCTGAGGGGCCAGCAGGCAAAGGAACACACGTCTGTGGGTTCTGCATAAACCTGAGTGGATTAGTTTAGAAAGCCTCTGGGCAGATGTCATCCTCTGCAGAGGCTGTGCCCACAATGCAATGCCAAAGCCTGTTGCAATCGAGGAGGACAGAGGTGGACAAGGAAAGGTGGCACAGAAACAGAAAGGAAAAATAACACAATCCTTTCCTTCTGCATGTGCACAACTTGCCTCTACCTATAGGCATGTGATATCACTTTGAACCTCCGTAAGACTCTTCCAAATCATCCCTGCTTCAATCCGGAGGGGGGATCTGTAACAAAGCTGACAGCTTCATTACAGGGCTACATTCACTCCTCCATGCCCTCAAGAACACCTGACATATGCTCATCATGCTCCTGTCCCCAAGCAAGAAACCCCTTTCAGCCATCCAGAGCTTTCCAGGAGGGCAAAGCATAACTCTGGCTCATACTCTCCAGATAGTGTTATATCCCTCCCCCAGCTTCCTGCTAACAGAAGCCAGGCACTTTTACCAGCAGGTCAGGCTCTAAGACATCCCACTTCATTCATTTGTTTTCTTGCTTTACATTCTTTTTCATGTGGGGGTGAATGTCAAGCATTTGAGAAAGCAAGATTAACTCTTCCAACTCAAACCAGGGATTGCTAAATTTTCAGGCACAGAACTTGGCCAGTGAGGTTACACCCTGCTTTTCTAGTCCACATCAGCATAAGATACCTCTGACCCTTACTATTCCAGTTCTGGGTGCCCCCCCAGCTCTGTCAACATTTTTAATCCTACAGGAGATCCTGCTATTCCAAGTCTGAAATTCTACCTCAGTCTTCAGGTACAGAACAGCACTCTCACTGCATCTAGGTCATTACTCAGCTCTGCTAACATACCTCAAATCTGACATTTATCTTCTGCTACCTCAGTCCCAGACTCTTTAGAACCAAACACCAACTCTGCACTGTAGGACTTCCTGCTATTTCAGTCCTGAGCCTCATCTGAGCCAGGTGTGTCAAACCAGACAAGAGTCTGGGACATGAACAAATTCCTAGTGGAGATCAAGTTGAAAAGTGCACAGATATGTCTTCTATTTCATTACCCATCAAGCGTGGATTTAGGAGAATGGCCAAGTTACTGTATTCTCTGAACATTCACAAGAATGAAAAGGTATGGGCATTCTAATGGGGGGACAAATCATGACACAATAGAATTTAATCTTGTCAATTCTTATGAACGAGATAAGGTTAGGCCCCCAAGACATGCATGAACAGAAGTTGCAAGAAGCAGAACTGGTATCTCAGTAGGTTGCATACATTAATTTAATACATACAAAACCAATGCCTTCATATGTTGTTTGATGACATTATGCTACTAGGGAGGCCATTCATAAAACAGAAATGGTGCTTTGAACACCTGTGTTCACTTAAAAAAAAAAAAAAATAGAACTCAAAACATTTGTCTGCAAGAGATGGGTTTCAGTCTCAGTACCCTGAAGAAATTTGAACTTTAAGACAACAGAACATGGTGGTTAAGTTTCACCCGCTTCATTTGGAAATGGCATTCTTTGTCATGCTCTGCCCTTGCTGTGAAGTTTGCACTGATAAACAACTGCTAAATTTCACCCAAAAAAGTGGTTGCATTTCAAGGCTGTGTGAGCAACTGTTTCATACAGTCATCAACACTGTTTAATCCTGCCACAGAAATGTTCATTCTGCTAGAAAGGGGCCATCTCTGCCTAGGAATGCATTTACCAAAATGCACAGCATCCAGAAAAGAATTGAAAATGTCGTAAGCATATGAAATTAGACTACAATTAACAGAGTTGGAGTTTAGCCAAGACACCAGGGCCAAAAATCTTGTCAAAACCCCTGTGGAATTTTAAACTTCACAAATAGCTATCTTTGTTTTTCATGTAACCCAAAGGAAAACAGCAATTGTATAACAGCCTCTCATGTAGCACCACACACAGATGGGATGATTGCTTTAAGCATTGCTTCCTTGGAGGAGTTTCTCCTACCAAAAAAACACTTTAGCAACATCTGAGAATTTCTGACTCTGCTAAAGCTTAGCCTGTGTGCTCTAATAAGACAAAATCTTTAAGTGATAATGCCACAGCTAACATGTGGTTGAAATGAACTGATATATATATATATATATATATATATATATATATATATACACACACACACACACACACACACACACACACACAGTCTGTAAAGTACTATAGAATCCTCTAGTATGAAAGATACGATAGAGAAACAGAAAGGTACTTACTTTTACATTTCAAAGTGCTGTACAAAGATGACAAAGTACTGCTAAGCCAATATGGGGAAAAAGAGGCACACAACAGTGAAAGGACTAGTTCACTGCAACCCTAAAAATACTAGCAGAGCTGGTGATAAAACCAAGGTGTCCCAGGTCACAGTCCCATGCTCATTCTTTTAGAGTGCAGTTTAAAGATAGCAATAATTATTAAATAGACATCATCTGGTCAATGACTTCACTGAGCTTTTGTATCCAACTTACATCCTTCTCCTGGATAGTGCACTCCTTGCAGTAGTAGGCATCGGAAACCCCAGGGCCCCCGCAGATCACACAGCGCCCTTGGTATGAGCCATAATTGCACTCATCACAGATGCGGACAAGTGTACAGGGCCGCACGTACGAGTCACAGATCACGCATTTGCCATCACCTATAAGCAGACCACAATCATCAGCTAAAGAACTTTCTCAACCATTCCACCTTAGAAATGGGACAGTTTCCTAACCAAGGAACTCCCCCCATACACTCTCAAATAATGGAGCTAGGCTGTGAAATTTCCTCTCTGGAGGCCATTCTGCACTTGCTTGTTCATTCCAGAGAAGCCACAGCCAGCGTAGCAATGCTTCCTTTTCAGTTCTTTTTGCTTTGCAATCAGAATCGGAGAAGGTGGTCAAGCTAAGCTAACACTGCACAGAACTCCTCCTTGCATCATACCCTACTTGGCCTTTATACTTTTCAACTAATTTAGCACCTGCAAAAGGTTGCTGGACAGACAGCACCACACTGCCTTTTCCTATAAGCGGACAGTAGTGATGCAAGCTTCCCTAGCACACCCACATCAAGGAGAGCCTAGAGGTACTGTCTCCAAGGGATGAGAGGGATGGTCTAATATGAGAACAAGGGAAGGGGAGGGCATTTGATCCTGAGTCTCTGAGAAGGCCAAAGAGAGGGCAAATTTGTGTAAACAGCAACAAGGATTTCTGTGACGTGGATCCCTCCCAAGGAATGGAATGAAACCCAAGAACTCAGCCATCAGATGTCAGGGCCAGTCTCTGCTGTCCTGGACTCTGTCCAAATCACCGACCTAGAGATGAAAGACTTCATATCCTATTACCAGTCTCCTGAGCCATCTAATCCCTCCTCCCACTAACAGCTCATCTACCCTGCTCTTAAATCTGCAGGGACAGTCTTCAACTATCTCCTACAGGAATCTATTCCACTGCCCAGCTGCTCTTAAACACATTTCCCTAATGTCAGATTAAATTTCTCCACCTTTTGCTTCTTGTATTACTATTTTCTGAGGCAGAGGCTAACATTTCATTTATGTTGCATCCACACAGGGTTTACTAATAGCCCACACCCTCAAGCCACTCCCCCAAGGCATTTCTTTTATGCTTAATAAAGTCCTTGCTTCAGGTCATTTCTGTCATCTATTTTCTATGCTCCTGGGTTATAACTTGAGCCTCTGTCACACAGTAAAGGAGGCATTTTTCCCTATCTGTAAATGATCAGGTTATCCTTTTACAGCACAAATGGATTATTTACCATGAACCAATCAGTAACTCAGCACAGCCCCAGATAGTCCATTTCTTAATTACAAGAAAACACATTCTCTAACACTGTGTGCTTCTATGGTGCCCTCCATTTGAGCCGCGCCAACTGCTTTGCAAATATTCATGAATTACATCACCACACCCACTTGGACGTTTCCCATTTGAAAGACTGACTTTAGTCACACCCCTGCTGGAAGCTGGTGGTTGAGCTGGAAATAGTATCTAGGTCCTGAATGCCACTTGTGTACTCTGACCACAAGGCCCAACTCTCAGGAAAGTTTAGGCAGAAAGCACACTTACATTTTTCACACAGTCTTCCAATAGCTGCAAAAACAAACAGTAGAAAGAAGAAAGTTATTTTTTTGCAAAATAAGTAAACATGCATTTAAAAGCAAATAAATGCTTTAAAAAGGTCCATTTAAATCTGGAATCATTTAATAAAATACAAGGGTGGCTTTAACACAACAAGTGGATACACTTTAATGATAAACAATAAGAATCATCCTAGACTTATTTGTGAAACCAGGATTTAGAGCTTACTATTTTCCACGTGAAATTCAATGGCACCCAGACACTTACAAAAAATGGCAGACTTCATTACCCAATTTCAACATTGGCAACATCACGGACTACAGAAAAACCCTGAAATACGTCTTGGCAGTCTTTCCATTGACTTTAGTGGGTCTGTATATATGAGGTTTCAAGGGAGGAAGTGACCTTTATTTAAAATGCTAGTAACTATTTCATAGCTTCGTAGTTTTTAGGGACTGGAAGGGACCTTACAGCTCATCAGGTCCAGCCTCCCTGCACTTAGGTAGGAAAGACCTCTGGAATCTGATAACCCCAGCAAGATGGGTGTCAAAATGTTTTATGAAGACTATTCATATATTTAGTTTAGGGTTCTGGATATTAAGTTAATACTTTAAAAATAACTTCAAGAGTCACTTGTCTAAGATTTCCAGACATCATTAGATTTCATAGACATTAGGGTTGGCAGGGACCTTGGAAATCATAAAGTCCAGCCCCCTGCCCCAGGGGCAGGAAGTCAGCTGGGGTTACAGGATCCCAGCAAGAAAAACAACCAGGTTTCTCTTGAAGGCCTTCAAAGTAGGTGCTTGAATCACCTCCGGCGGCAGGCCATTCCAGACCTTGGGGGCTCAGACAGTAAAGAAGTTCTTCCTTATGTCCAGCCTGAAACGGTCTTGCAGGAGTTTATAACTGTTCGACTTCATCATCCATTGGGGTGCTCTGGTGAACAAACGTTCCCCCAGGTCCTGGTGAACACCTCTTGTAAAACTTATAGGTGGCCATCTGATCGCCCCTGAGCCTGCGCTTTTCCAGGCTGAGAAGTCCTATGGCTCTCAGCCTCTTGTCATAAGGTCTGTTTTCCTGACCTCTCATCATGCGCGTGGCTCTCCTCTGGACCCGTGTCAAGCTTCTCCACATCCTTTTTGAATTGTGGGACCCAAAACTGGATGCAATACTCTAGCTGCGGCCTCACCAAGGCCGAGTACAATGGGAGAATGACGTCCTGGGATTTGCTTGAGAAGCAACTATGGATGCAAGCCAGAGTTTTACTTGCTTTACTGGCTGCAGCATCATGGTGAAGGCTCATGTTCATCTTGTGGTCAATCCTGACCCCCAAGTCCCTCTTGTCCGTAGTGCTAGTCAACGTAGCACTGCCGAGCCTATAGACATGCTGCAGGTTTTTCCTCCCAAGGTGGAGAACCTTGTATTTTTCAGTGTTAAACACCATCAGGTTTTTGCCCACCCATTTACTGGGCCTGTCAAGGTCAGCCGGATTACCCCCCTGTCCTCAGGTGTGGATGCTTTACCCCAAAGTTTGGTATCATTGGCGAACTTGGCCAGTCTGCTTCTGACTCCAATGTCCACATCATTAATGAAGAGGCTGAACAAAATAGGTCCAAGGACAGAGCCTTGAGGGACCCCACTAGTCACAGGGCACCATGACGATTGACTTCTGTCAACCACCACCCTCTGGGTCCGACCACAGAGCCAATTCCCCAGCCAGCAGATCATGGTGGACCTGAGGCCACAGTTGGCCAGTTTTGCCAAAAGGTGATCATTGGATACCAGATTGATGTCCTATATCTCAATTTTAAAAAAGCCTTCAATCTCTTCCCCCTTGTCCAGGTAATAGATAACACAGATGGATGAATGCAACAGACAGATAGTTATACAGGCAGTCCTCAACTTACAACATTTCGAGTTACAACGTTTCACACTTACAACTTTTATAAATTGACACCGTTTCAACTTTCTGATGTCAGTTTAGACTTTACACTTGATTTGACACCACACCATGCCCATCTCCCTGGAGAACCTGTCCAAACTTCCTTGGACACTTTCTTTAAGAAAGCAGACAAGACTCCAGAAAAACCTGCAGCCAAAACTCCTAAGGACTCCATCCAAGAGCCCTTCAAAAAGTCCACCAGTCACCTCAAAGAAGTCCTTCCAAACCAGTGATTGCTATTTACAATATAAATACATTAATGTAGCTATATTACTTATCTACAATTGATTGAGTACAAAATTCTGGGTTATTTTTTGTGAAAATAGGGTATCAGGCCTTGCTTCAGGAATCAATCCCACATTTATAACATTGTTTCCTATGGGAAAATTGGTTCCGAGTTACAACTTTTCGACTGAAGACTTGGTTTTCAGGAACCAACTGTATCGTAAGTCCGAGGGCTGCCTGTACACCCTAGTGATAATTACAGTAGAGGCCCAGCCTGCACTTCACTATGATGTGTTGGTCAAATGATTCCAGGTAGATAAATATCTACCAGGCTAGGATAATAGCCCTCAACCTTTTTAGGCTTAAGGCACCCCTCAGAAAGGTCAGTTCTGAGTTTTTTGTTGTTTCTTAATTACAGGAAAATGATAGAAAAATTCTTCTGTTACAAAAAACTCAGAAAGACTGTAAAGTCAGAATGTTTTTGGTGCTACGGACTCTTATTTGAAACCACTGAGTTTATCTTGTAAATCACATGTACGTGTTTGCACATCTAACACTGCTAAAATTGCATGGTACTCTGTGGCACCCTTAAATAGAATTTCATGGCACCCTGATTAAGAATCACTTGGCTAGAGGAATAAGTCTTAGATACAGATAAGCCTCTCACCTTGAACATATAATGCCACTCTGAAAAAATGATTTGTTACTACCACTGATTGCTGTGTTTGCCATTTCCCAAAGAGTGCAGATTAAATTAATTCCAAGAAGTAAATAATTTTTTTTTTCTAACTAACCAGTCAGTGATTCAAAGGTCAAGTTAGGGCCTTGTCCATTCGTCTTATGCCTTGTCACTATTAATAAAGACTTAGCACGCCAGATTCTAGCCTCAGTTTAAAAGCCAATGTGTGCGCACAGTCATATCCAACAGCAAGAACTGCTCCTGCAATTGGAAAGAAATCACTGGGTCTCCTAATAAGCAACTCAGAAGATTCACCAGCTTGTTCTTTTGGCTGAGGTGACTCTACCAGGATGAGAGAAGTAAAGAGTAGTAGAAAGGTATTATGTCAATGAAGCCAGTAGCTTTCCCCGGGCACCCGCTAGCCTCTTAGGTAAAGACTGATCACTGTATCAGCTTTTTAAATAATAGAGCTCTACTTACTTTAAACATTTTAAAACTAACATAAGCATGTTAAAGCTCACTGCTACTTTGGAGGTAGGTAGCACAGAAAGCTGTTGGATATGATTACAGCAATGGCACCTTACGGGCCACGCAGGGCAAAGGCACGCAAAACTTGGGGGCATCTGAACCCCAAGCCTCTGGCCTTGGGCCTGTACGTAGGATGCCTGTCAAAAGACGCTGGAAACACCTGAAGCCCCTGGTGAGGGTGGAAGATGTTTCCCGGCTGTAGGGCCATGTATGGTTCTGGACTGACTCATGGATTTGGACTTGATTTGGCTTGGAACACAAAAAATGCCAATAAATAAATAAATAAATAAATTGGTGCAAACTGGGAGTATGGTCACAAGCCCACGTGGGAGAGACTTATTCTTTCCCGGCACAGAAGACACCAAAGAGCTTGGGCACGGGCCTGAGGCCTGCTCTGCCACTGCCCCAGGGAGGGGGAGACCCCTCAGGCCAGGGGCACGTGTCAGCAGGACCAGAGCTTAAGAGCAAGCTGGGAGCACCCTTTTGGGATGAATACCAGGCCAGCGGCCCCTCCTCCAGCCCCGTGCGGGGGAAGCCCCGGCCGCCGGTGCCCTCAGGGCAGCGGCTCCCAGTCATTTCTAGATTCGTTTGGCTCAGGGCGGCGCGGAGAGGCCGCAGCTCCGAGCGCCCGCGCACTTTTTTGCTATAGAAAAATGCGAGCCACCCTCCCGCTGCGCAGCCCCGCGCCCCAGGGAGGCTGAGCAGAGCCCGGCGCCGGCGCCGCCGCCCCGCGCACGTGTAGCCGCCCCGCGCTTCCGGCGCCATTCAGGCGGGAGCGGCGCCGGACACGTGACGTGGGGTAGGCGCCGGCGGGGTACGGACCCGCGGGGACCCCGCACGCACCCACGCCTGCCTGCTTGCGGCAGAAGATCAGATCCGGGTGGTGCCTGGCCCTGTCT